TGAAGTGTCATGTTGCAGCTGAACCCCTCACCCCTCCCCCTCCTTCCAAACATGAAAAAGAACCTGTGGCAGCTTCAGTCGTTATAAAAACTCAAAAGGTTTTAGTTTGTTCAGTCTGGACTAATGTAAAAAACATGGCGGCCTCCGTAGAGAGGGTCCCCCCGGATGTATTTAAATATAAAGGGTCTTTTCTGGGGTAAAGAAAACTACAATTCAAACAGTTTAGATGAAATGAACCAGTGAAAACATGTATCGGAAATGTGTCTTTTGTATAATTGCATGAGCAGACGTGTATGTGGAGGACGGACCAAATGGTTTATGTTAAACTTTAGGGTTTACGATGGATTAAGAGACTTTGAATTATGACCTTGAGAAACCACAACTTTATGGTTTCTCATGTTATCTCTGTTTGGGATCTGTCACGTGGGGAGTCTTCCACAGAACATGTCAACACATAAGGTGATGTCTCCTCCGCTGAGTGAAACTATAAGAGAATGCTGAGTGGGGGAGCTGTGAGCTCTTTGCTCATCTGTTCAGTTCATTCAGGTGATTGTACTGATGAGTCCAGAAACAAGTGTTTGACCTTGTGCTCGTTTCACAGAAATGACCACAAACATCATGAGGATGATTCTGCATTAAATTAAATAGTTCCCTTTCACCTGAATCTTACACACTGGAGCTTTAAGGTTTTATTTATTACTGATATTTATTGATTATTTATGGTGTATTATTTATTTTTGGTGGAGTTGTTTGTCAACCTGTGGCCTTTGACCTCGTCTGAGGCCGATTGTATTGATTTAATACGTGACTCAGCAGAGAGAGAGAGAATTGCTGAGTCACTACAGGAAGTGAAATTTTGATGATGTCAGAGGTTCTTTGTACCTGAAAGTCTCTGCAAAAGTAAACTGATTTATTGAATTTATTTATCTCTTAATTGTTTGTTTGTACAAAGATTTTATTGTCGCTTCTTACTCACGTTGTCAAAACCTGGTCAAGAGTCGATGGTCATGTGATGTTAATGATAATAAAACTCTCCTCCACCCTCACACAAGGCTGTGCACTACTGTCTGTACACACGATCCAGAAACCACACCAGTGACTATCGACCTGTGAATTTTCACACCTGTTCTCAATTAGTAATTTGATGAGATTTAAAACAGGCTGAGACGTCATGATTGACAGCTGAGACTGACTCAGGATTGGTTGATGGTGTGTCTGGGCGGGGCCTTGATACCACGATCACTACTGCACAGACTCTGAGTGAGAGTGATGTCATCACCACACGATGGCAGTGTTTGTATCTGAGATATTTCTGTCTCTATGCACAGTTGTTGATGCTAACGTTAGCTGTGTAGCAAAAGTAAATCTTTGTTAACTTCTCCACGAAACATCCGCTGTTCAATTTCTTTTCCGCTTCATTAAAGAAACAAATAAATGAAAGTTTCTCAAAGATGATTTTATTTGAAGATCAGAGGTCAGTCAGTGTCTCCCTCTGCTGGTGGTGTTCAGTTCCTGCGCTGCTCCTGTTCTTTCCTGCGCTGTTTTGCTTTTTGTTTCTCCAGTTTGTCCAGAACTTTTCTCTCCTTCTCTGCTGCAGTGTGAATTTCTTTAATGCGGCGCTTCAGAGTGCAGCGGTCAGACGAGCTGAGCACGCCCAGATGCTGCAGAGGTCAGAGGTCACAATTACCCACAGACTTAAAGGGATGGTTCACTGAACATTTTTAATGCCCTCATCACACAAAGCACTTTGATGGGAGGCACCTAGGAGGTGTGTTCACGGACCCTCTAACACACCATCGTGTGGCTAGGTCCACTAGCTTAGCCACTTCTTTCAGGCTTAAAACTCAGTGTAAATGACAAAGTTTCCAGTTGAACTTGAATGTCAGGGCTTGTGGACACTTGATGACATCACAGGAGCAGGATGAAGACATGTTGGGTTTTTTCTGTTGTTTCTTCACGTCTGAAGCTTTTGTTGGATTCTGCACGAACAAAGTTTACCCCTGAAAGTGTTTACTGGACCCCCCCTCATTTTTCAGTGAACTATCCCTTTAAATGACACTGTTGAAATATCCATTAACTACACTCAAATGACTTCGGGATTTGAACCCACAACCTCTTGCTCCTCACCTTCAGCCTGCTGCTGTCCATCTGCAGCAGCTGCTGTCCGTCAACGTTTCTTGCACTGAATTCTGGGACATATTTCTCCATGTTCAGTCTTTGGAGCCACTGACAAACCTGCTGAGTCGTCCACGACAACACACCACACGATGACTCATCACCAGGCTGGGGGGGGGGCGGCAGTTAATGACTGACAGGTATGGGCTCTGACTGATGACATCATCACAGTGCAATCATGTGCTTTACTGCATGTGTGTTAATATGTGTGTGTGTGTGTGTGTTACCTCATCAGAGAACAGGGTGTGGTACGGATGAGAGGATCTGGAGGAGTCGACAGGGGGGGGGTAGGAGTGAGGAGGAGAAAACTCCTCACTGAGCACAGACTCCTGCACACACACACACACACACACACA